AAGGAACAGAAGAAACACATGATTTAAGAATCGCTCCATTGGTGTGTATCATTGTACTCCTGCAAAAATAAAAATAATTTAGTGCTACTGCCAAAACTAGGACCACCCACAAACCCATAAACTGCATATTTATAAACTGCTTGTTCAAAAGCCTATGGCATGTTGCTTTATGCATAGGAAGAAACTTGATCACTGAAGTAAAATCACTGCCAAGAAAAGCATGTGTTGTCAGGGTGGCGTATTTTAGTTCTATGTTTAATGATCTGCCTTTCTCCAAGCTCGTTTTACCTTAAAAGGCTTTTAAAGTGTCAAGCATGAGCTACTGCTTTCACAAGTATGTATGCTGGATTGCAATAAGGAGGTAATTCACGTCTCCCAACCATGCTCTACAGAAGAGCTTTTATAAAGCAGCAAGAAACAGAGACTTTATTTATACAACCTCACAAAATGTCATCAGCATCAGCTGCACTACGTACACTAGGCTGTCAAGATAAAATAACCAACATTTATTATTAGAAAACAGATCAAATTTGAAAAGATCCTTGAAAATTTTTTATTAATTTCACTGGGCATCTTGCCTTAGTTTAGAGTAAGGTAGGAAATGATCCCGTGAAAACTGAAACTGCTTACACTACCAGAACTTTTGAGAATACTACTGTTAGAAGGTGGGATAAAAATACAGTTCTATTCACTTGAGAGGTACAAAGTGCAAAAAACTACTCCTGAATTACAGAAGTCGAAGGAAATCTAACAGTCTTGTTTCAAACACGTTTAATGCTTAACTTGCACACGAACTTAGACGTGAGGGATAAGACATGCCTCAGTAGGCTCCATAAGGTAAGAAATGGAAAGTTACATTTATAAATGCTCCGAAGAAGAACAAAATTCTCAGAACAAAAACTAAATATGTTGGGCATATGAAGCTATGAACTTCACTCTTGTTTTGCAATGTGCTTCTTTACTCCCTTGCTCTCATCTGTCTTACAGCTTTTGATACAAGTCCACTACAGTCTCCACTGTTGCAGCAATCTCCACTGCTTTAGTGGCTGCCACTTTATGCTGATACTTACACAAGATACTTGAGCAGCAGTGCTCCTGCAAGAAAAACTGAATGAAAGCAAAACAACATCTACAAATTATTCCTGAAAAGACTAGGACAGTAAAAAAAAAAAGTATTTAATATACAAAGTCTTACATGAAAGAACATGAAGCATTCAGAAGTTTAAACTCATTTCACAGGAAACAGTTCCTTATATATGCAAGTTAAACTTGAAAAAAAGAAGAGTTTCCACGGAGGGAGGAGGGCAAGGACATCCAAAAATCTCAACTCCCTCTTTAAACCATCAGTAAGAAGAGCTGTAAGTTGGTATCACAGCTATTGTTTTATTAATCTATTTCACAGAATTAAATCTGTGCACCACAAAACTAAGACTACAACTCCTACATATTTTAGTCTCTCTTGCAGATACATGAAAACTATTTTAATATACTACATCCAAATCACTCTAAGTTGGTGACATGAATAAAAGTATTTCTTGGAACTGGAATTATTTGGTGAAGAGGCTCCAACTAAGATTTAACAGTGTAAATCTAAGCAAGTGATTCCCAACTGGTTAGTAACCACTGCATGTTTGAATAATTAATGTATTACCAGCACTCAGAAGTACTTTTTAAAAAAAATACTTGTGCTGTTGAAAAATAAAATATTGCTTCCAATCACTATCAGCAAGATCCTCTTTCAGACAGAGGAATGTATGCAAAATAAAAATTAGCAAAATACTACAGGAGAACAAGTTTCCCAAATAAGGTACTGTGAAATCAGAACACATATATATTGAGATATAACAACAGATTTTAACTAACCAACTTTTAGAAAGCGAGGGAAAAACTCTAAGCAATATGTGTTTATCAATAACTTATCTAGTAGAGATCACAGAACTAGATTAGGAAATTGTTTAGGCATCATTAGGCTGTCCATTACATTAACAATCAATGCAATCAAATTTCTAATGTACATCACCAGAAACAAGAATGCTTCAGGAAAGGAAATTCCATCCCCCCCTCCCCCCAAAAATACTTTTATCATCTGTAACTAAACAAAGTAACTGGTCACTGCATTAAACTTGATTACAGAATGCTTTTTAAAAGTAGTTACACTTAAAAGAATCAAAGTTTAATGACTTAGGGAAAAGATACAGATAGAAACTTTCAACAGGAAAGCCTAACACTGCAACCCTATATGAGAGGTTCCAGCTCTCCTTGTCATTGCACTTACCATTTATCTTCCTCTTTTAGACTGAACAGTAAAAATGGATAGGATATAAGTGAAGGAAGCTTACTTTTGAAAGCTTTTAAGAAACAAAAACAAGGATTAGAAACAATTATTATGGTCCTTCTAAATACATGGTTGACAGGAGACTTTAATATGTTATAAGGATTATGCAAAAGAGTTTATCAAGACCTGATATGATAAAAAACTATCCACCAGTATAAAAAATTGCAATTCTTATCAACAGTCAACTTTTGAACTCTTAAAATAGAGAATAACTTTTTCAGTGTATGTACAATGGTAATCTGAGACTAGAAGTAAGTACCAGATAGAATCTGTTCGCAGCAAACAAGTATTAGCAAGAACAAATAAAAACAAATCAGTTGTATAAGAAATTCTAAATTGAAAACAGACTTGATGTATCATTTTGCAGTCTTCAGATATAGTTCACAATTTTTGTCTGCTGCAAAATGCAAAGGCTTTTTCAAGTCCCACTCACACTACGTAAGTACAGTTATCTAAAAAATGTTGTAACAAACACCTATAAAATGACAGGCGTGCTTAGTCACAGAGCTGCCCTGATTAGAAACTGCTGCTAAAGAAAGTAAGTAAACACATCATTTTCAATTTTGTTTCATTCTTTTTTTAAGTTTCAAAGAACATTAGAAGTAAAATATACGTCAAAACATGACCGAGATACTAGTCTAGATAAAAGGTTTTTGTCATATATTATTGTATATTCCACTTCAACTTCATATGACATTTAAAAACAACACCTGTACTACATATTCCTTTACACATAACTTTCAGCACTTTTAGAAGGGCTGTTACTGCACAGATACAATATATATTCTTGCAGTGCATAATTAGTTCCAGATGAACCCAGCTCAGTGGGGATGCTACATTCTTCCAAACCATTCTTCCACCTTTGCCTTTCCCCTCCAAAAAACTCAACATATAAAAGTCACAAAAATTGTGCACAGTGATTGAAATGCTTTCCATTCGAACCGCTCCTCTTCCCTTCTTACCCTACATTTTTGCCAAGTCCAGCACACCAACTTGGAACAGTTTCTATTTACACAGAGTTTGGAAGTTAAAAATGTAGATAAGCAACAAGGATGGCCAAACTGTGGCAAGCAATTCAAGCACAGAGACTAAATAACATTATCTCAAGAAAGATATAAGAAGAAAAGCAGTAAAGGTTGCAGTGGCCAACGTTATCTGGTTTTCCCCAGCACTCCAAGCTACAGAATATAGCCTACAATCTCCTAACAACAATGGAATCTGAGGGAGCTACTGCTACCCCAAGCCTGTGGGTTGGCTCCCCAGCTCCCTGCTGGTGCAGTTCCCTGCAGCGAGAAGCACGGGCCTCACACAACAGGCACAGGAGGATTTGGACAGGTAGCTTAGAGGGTCAGAAAGTCAGGCGACCCTAAAAGATGCTACATTAAGATATTAAGGTGAAATGAAATTTCACATCTGGCAGTACAGAAGTCACAATCAGTAAGTACTATTTCTAAATTATATCAGGCAACTGTTACATGCTATTTACTAAAGTATGTTTAATAATATTTGGAACCTGCTAGTAAAATCAAAGTAACTATTTTGCTTTCTACCAGTCTTTACTAAAAACACTAAGAGGCAGAGGATGGGGAAAAATGTCCTGCTAAGAGCAGGAAATAATTTATTTTCTAGCATCTCTTAGGATGTCTCAGAACATATATAATAAATTCTTTGCAACCATACAGAAGATTTTATGGTATAGAACATAAAATAAGTATTTCTTCCACAAAAACAGAAAGTAGCTGAGAAATTAGCAGCTCATTTTTGATTCACATATCAAGTTGTACCTGTGAAGGGGAGCAAATTTCCCTCCTGCAGACTACAGTTGTTACAGTAACAGAAAAGAGCATTGTGTGAATCGCTTATTCATTGCTTCCTCACTAAGAACAGCTGTAACAGTAAAAGGTATCCTACTCATATGAAACTAAAGCATTTGCAACACAGGTTGCTTTCATTTAACTGATTTGGTTGGTAGAAAGAAAGCATATTCCTTCACCAAAACAGATCATCATGAAAATTTAGAAGCTGACTCCTCTGATACCACCATTTTGCTAGTCCTGCAGAGGCAGAGCATATCTAAACTACTAATATAAATAATGTAGATATTATAGGAGAGGACAAATTTTTCCCCACCTTTATAATCTTTCAGTCTCCTTTAGTAAAGATTTTTATGTTTTCCTCATCTAGTTTTACAGTAAGTTCAAAAGGAAGAGTGATTTTAGGTTCCATTAACACTGCCTATTTTGTTTCTGGAGTATATTATTTTTCCAGTAAGCATAAACTAAAACAAGCAATTCAAACAAGCTTAACAGCATGAACTGGTTTAATATTTAAACCTTCAGGGAGACTAAGGCACCTCCTCATGAAAACATCATTGATTCCCATCCCCTTTCCCAAATAAAAAAAGAGAAGTTATCTAAGCAGCTTAAGGTAACTGAAGAGTTACATCACCAGCTTCTGGGGAAAATGACAGTGATGTCATTAAGTGATGTCATCATACAAGAGAATAACTACACTACTGAATATGTACCACTTCTCTCAGGAGAATGATGGAATTCTAAATTAGAAAGGGTAAATATGAAGATGGCAATTCAATAGCTAATACAACAAATAATACAATAAAAAAATTATTTTGCAATTTGGACTTTGATCATAAAATTTGACTTACGTTGTCCATGAAATTTGGCTTAAATCCTCCCTCCTGCTGACGTCGTAATTCCTCCTGTTCCCTCTGACGGAGCATCTCTTCTTCACGACGTCTGTGTTCCTCTTCATGTCTAGAATATTTTTCAAAAATTATGTCAGCTTAGTATCTTGACCTGCGCATGCTTGTACTCAGTCTCAGGACATAAGATCACGCATATAAACAAAATTGCCCTTTTTTTTTTTTTTTTTTTTTTTATACAGTGTAAGGCACTGGTCTATTCCACTTGATAAGCCTGAATATTATTGAAGTATTTTTAAATTTTTTTAAATGGTAATTGCAATACCATTAGATACTATATGTAGTCATTCAGGTACATACTGGTAAGCAGGTTAGAACTTTTTAACAAGTCACTGTGGATTAAAACATTTCAATACTGCAAAAAGATACAGTTTTAACTCTGAGATGTGTTTGTGTTGTTCTTTTTTTCTTAACATTTATTGTGATATTTAACATAAAAAGTATAAACTTTATCAGCATGATGATACTATGTCTATTTTCTTGAATTTTAGCAGAGATATGAAAACAAATATTTGCAGTATGTCAGAACATAAAGTGAAATTACCCTCCAAAATCCCATGGCAGACTATAAAACTGCAATGCTACAGTTCTATATGCAGATCATCTGCCCATAAATCTTAGAAGCATGTTCACATCTATTACAGCTATGCTGCAGTGACAAGGTTAAAATAAATATGAAACAAAAAAGCTATGTTGGGACATTTCTACACTATTTCGAAATCTCAGAAATTTACAACAGAACTAGTGGAGCTGATACAAATGAAAAAATCAAGCAAAACTTGAAACTGTTGTTTTACATTAGCATTATGTTAACATTATCATAAATAGCACATATTATGCTTTTGAAAAGCCAATTTTTAGCAGCAGAAACATCTATTCAGTATCAATAGCAAGCTCGACAAGCTGAAGTATCTAAATTCATGCAGGCCTACAGTCGCTGCATGCTACACCTTTGCACAGTAGAAGACAAAAATACCTCAATTGTATCTGCTTGCGTTTTTGAAGTTCTTGATTTCGAAGTTCTTCCAAACGCCTCAATTCTTCTTGACGACGCATGAGATCTACCGGGATTAAAAGTGTATTTAAATATAAAACCTGTCAATCAATAGGGTGGCAACATAAAAACTGCTATTGTTGTCAGATTACAGTTCTAACATTCAAATTTTAAACAAATTCATCAATGCATTTAACTCTTTCTTCCCATAAAGCTACGAAGAAACACACTGGATCCATGCCTCACAAAGGCAGAAATGAACAGGATGGGCAAAGCCTCAACAGCAGGTCATGACAACAGAAGTCCTCAAAGAGCAGAAAAACCTCACAATCCCTTACATCACCTCCTGGTTTTACATCTGGGGCAGGGCACCAATTTTCTCGCAATGCCGCATACTGCTGAAGTCACACTACCAAGTACACTACACCTAGTACACTAATAGTAAAAGAAATATGGACTTACTTATACTTTCTACTACCTATTGCAGATCACTATATATGGCATGCATCACAAAATGAATTTCGGTGCATGAAATCCAAATCTCCATGGAAATTTATCACATGACTCTATAGCAACTTAGAAATTACTAGTATTTTAACTCCCACCAGAAAGGAAGAGCCATAGCCTCTTTAAAAGCACTTAAAATGCTCTTAAATAGCAGGGCACAACTCACAGTTATTACTTTTGCTGACCAGTCACATCATGGATTCCTGCCTGGAAATTTATGCTTTCTTCAAAGAAGACTAAATCTACCTTTTGTTAGGAAGCAGTTCTTTGTCTTTTCTAATTTCAGAGTATATTGGCCACAAGACATTATTTATAGACACCACCAGGAACATTCCACCCATACAAAGTATTACACATTTCTCTACGCATTTCTTCGCTATACTAATTAAATAATCTTTTTAGCTATGCAAATCACTTTCCTCAAAATTGCATCAACATAAATTATAACTTAAAATTTTACTTTGATATCCCAAAACTACAATGACCAGTATATATTGCCCAAATATCATGTATTTGTTTTCATTTCTAGCAAAGATTATCAGATTTTTACTCTCACAACATCCTTATTGACATTAGAAGTCCTTTCTCAAACACATTTTGTAGGATTGCTTTTTCAATCTCTTCTGCAAAATGCACACATTTCACAGCTGAATAGAATATGACTACATTGAAGATTCACTCAAAACACAAAGTCTGAGGACCACTTCTTTCCAACAGTGCTTACCATAAAAATCCTGGCCACTGTTACCCTGATACTTCAGGAATTCCACAAGCACGCTATTTTTCCTTTTAAATAACCTTCAGAGTATTTCAGAGTGCAAGTGTATTCTTCTTTTGAAATGAACCTTTAGGTTGCTTCATAGTATTAGAAATTAAGGACTGACCCATTCTATACTCAACACTGTCCACTGAGGGAAACATGTTTCCTTTTCAGTTCTTTGTTCTTTCACTTTTATGTGGCATTCCCTATTTCTCGTGCACACTGGCATAGGATTTCTCTCTGGTACAGATGCTTTCTCTCCATCAGTAATGGCTACAAATTTATCATTTACTGCCCTTTGCTCTTAAGGTGTAGCACACTACTTTTCCCACTGCTGTCTTAATTTTTTTCCATTGCATAGTTGTGATTATTGCCTTTGCTGAAATTGTTAGTATTCTAAAGTTCAACATAGCAATTCAAGATTCAGTAGCATTTGACGACAGCAGAATCTTGGCAGAAAGCCTTATGAGCCAAGGGAAAATACTTATATACAGGTTTGGGCTGTGCCCAAGAGCCAGTCATATTAAAAGCTCTGCAATTATGGTAATTCTTTACTGACTTGTATTGGACACAGGCTCTTTCTCTGAACTGAAAAAATGTGCAGTAAGGCAACTGTGGGAAAAAAAAAAAACAAAAAGCCTCTGCACTTTCTTGTGTATTTGTAAAAGGACAACATCTTCATTTTATCCTCATCCTTCCACATAGCAGATGGAAGAAGGTAAAAGCGTACTCACACCTCAGAAGTTAATCCTACAAGTTGGAATACCAACTCCACAAAGACTTTTAAGCAGTTTTAGCTGCTGATTTTTTAGATTCTAAAAATGGAAAATAAATGCTAAGCTTCCACTAATTGATATAAAAGTTAAGCTTCTGCTTAAATTCGGTCATGCTTTCCAGTATTTTTACAATCTACTTAACCATCCTTATGAGAGAATATTTATGAAAGTTTGACACATACCATCAGTATGTAGATCAGAAATATCATGTAATTTACTTACACATGGAAACACGTATTCTGCTTTACAAATTACTTCTGACTCAGTCTGTCAAAACATGACACTTAAAAGTGAAAAATTACACATATCAAAAGAATGAAATCTACCTTCAGTATTAATACCACACCACACAAATCTGAATACTTAAACCAACATATTCCAGAGTTCAAGTCCTACTAGTTCTCATAAAGCAGTTTCTACAAAACCTTCACCTGCAGGAGTGTATGAACCAGTAAGCTCATCCTTTCATCTTCTTTTTAGCTCCTACACAATTAAAATATTGCATTTCATATTTCATAATAACTAATACATCTTTAAATCTGACTTGGTGCATCAGGTATATAAAAATATTAATTCTAGGTTCTTATGCCTTAGAAGTTTCATTGCACCTTTCTTAAGAATCCTGTGATGCAATCTCATTAACATAATTAATATTCTTGACATGGCATAAATCCCTAACCCCTAGATCTTGGAAAAACATCTGCAGATGAATGAGCAGAAACCTAATTAGCTGAACAAAATTCCAAGTTATTTGGTACCAAGAATGTATTCCACTAACCAAACTGTGAGGGGAAAAAAAATCCTCCTCCCATACTAACAAAAAGCACATTTCCTCACTGGAATATTAGCACCAAATGCATTTATGTTCTGGTGGCTCTTTAATGGAAGGAGTAATTCTCTTCCTTTTCCACATAAAAGCGGGACTTAGCTGATATTCCAAAAGAGGAATGTCTTTTCCCTCCCACTGTACTTAAAAGAAACTCTAATATCTACAAAACACATCTAAGTTGTTTTCCCATGTTATACCGCCAAGAGCTTTTCTATCTTAATAAATAGGCTGTCACATTGTCTCACTTAACATAATTAAGGTGTGATAATTTAAGAAAAAGTAATCTCTAATCTTGCCCTCAAGTACAGGCAACAGGTGAATGAATTCTTAGAAAATTAAAGAGCATGAGTTCTAGAACTAGACCATTAACACTGTTAAATATTAGCATTTAGGTAAGTCAATGGTAAATTTACCCAACCTGTACCTTCAGCACTGAACCATCTTAGGAAATATCAATCACACATAAACACAAAACTAAAAATATATGTCTCATTGGAAAGGGAGGGCTGTATGGTGTATTATAGGCATTGCTGTTATATCCTATTAACATGCACATTGGTCACCTGTAAGATACACCTATGCTTTCATACAAACTAAACACTTAAACATTTTTTCTTGGAAAATAAACCAAGAAACAACGTGACAGTTGTTATTTCAGGTGCTGCAAAACAATTTACAATGTTACTATGCTCTCTATGAGATCTTATGCTTTCTATGTTATTATATATATAAATTATGGTTTTAGTAACTATGCTCTGTCTAAGGCCTTATAAAAACAGCACGGCTTGAAAGACAGGCTAAATAAAGTTTTTCCTAATGACAACTTTCAGTTGCAGTAGTTTTAAGAATACTACATAAAAAATGAAGTACATTTCTTTAAAACTCCTTCCCAGTTACGGAAATGTTTTAAAGCTTATTTTTGTAGACTCTGTGCTAACATGCAATATATTCAAGCATTTAGGTTCTCTAATTCCACCAATCTAGTGAATACTCTAATCTACCTCATAAACTTTCATATATTCAAGCATTTAGGTTCTCTAATTCCACCAATCTAGTGAATACTCTAATCTACCTCATAAACTTTCAGTGTCTTCAAGTAAGAGGAAAGAAATTAAAACAAACCAGTCCCACACAGGGAAGTCATCCTATTGACAAAAATGTCTGGTTTTAAGTGTAAGCTTTAAGTAAAGCCAAGTAAATGCAGCAGACAACTTCTGACAGTTAACTGAGTTTAGGTTTCAAAATGCATCGCTACTTAGAATCTCATCAAGTTCACATCACTTTGAAATGACAAGGCATTCTTATTCGGTCTATCAAGCTACTTGTTCTACTGTCTTATGATCTAACACTCTCAGGGATAAGAATTTTTTTAGGTAGCCATGATCTCCCTTTAGATTTAAAAACCAAAAACCTTTAGGACTTGCTCTGCTACTGTTTTCTCTGCCCAAGAAACACAAGCTTCACCCTGCTCCACTCGTAAAGACAAGGCTTGAAAGCAATTGGCTAGAGGACTTTTTGCCCCCAACTAGGAGAAGACAAGATGTTCAAACAATTACAAAAAAGGGATACATAATCTTAAAATTTGAAGAACAACAGAAATTCATGGCAACTGTGTGCTATTTTGAGTTGTTACTCAAAATAGAGTAACAGTCTTCTCAGCTGGGTCTCAAAGGAAAAAAAAATAACATTAGCTACTGGAACATTTAATATCATACTAGAGGTGTACAAAACAGTTACAAGTACAAGCTATCATTTTATTTTTTCCTGCACATGACCAACAAATAGTACTCAGTCCTATCTAGTACCACAAGAAACATAAAAAATGGAAAATAATCATTACTGATGAGTATGAAGCTACCATCCAATTACTTTACATGAACTACTTAACTAGACAAATTTAGGTGAAGAAAACAGACCTAGACAATCACCCCTTTCTCAGTTTTTTAACTCATTTCTGCAAATCATTGAGGAATATGTGTAAGGAGAAATATTACCTCCATTTTCTCAGTTAAATGCATTTAATTAAAGAGTGGCTGGCAAAATCTCCAAGTATAACACACAGCACAACATGCTACACAAAAAATAAATCTGTGACAAAACAAATTTAATACTAGTAGATTATCCAATATTACCTTGCCTCATTAGCATTAACTGATGCTCATGTCTAGCTGCTTCCATTTCTGCCTCTAGTTTCTCTTTGGCTTCTCTAATGTTCCTGTCGACCTGTTCACGTTGTTGCTTTTCCATCTCATCAAGAGCCTTCCACCGTGAAGCATACTCAAACTCAAATGTTCCAGGCTGAGCAAAACGTGGAGGCTGTTCTCTTTCCCTAATAGAAATTTTGCAGGTAAAATGTACAGAAGGACACATTTAGATCAACAGCTGCAACAGCCAGAGAATGTAATAAACAATCACTTCAAGTGCAGATCTGACTTTACATCAACCTGACAGATGACTGTTCCAAACCAGACAAAGCTTAATTCAGCTGTTAAGTCAAGTAACAAAGTAACAGAGACAGTTTTCCAAAAATTGTCCAAATAAAGATCTGTCCCATTTATTTAAGATAAAAATTCATATTTACATCAGTACAAAATACTAAGTTGCAACAGCAGATTAACTGTGTTCAGCCTTCTAAAGCAAGCAGTCAATTCATAAAACCAGTTATTTAGATAACTCTCAAAGCTTACTAGACAACTCAGAACATTAGCCAGAATCTGTACACATTAAAAGGTGTTAACATTTAATTTCCCATTCTAACACTAATACTGTACCTAATAGTCAAAAATTTTTAGGAATTGGTATTCTACAGCCTTACCAGAATAAACACTTTAGCTTCAAGCAACACCATTTTTAATGGCAAATTACAATACTAAAAATAAGTATTTTCAGATTGGGTGACTTCTACCTCATGATCAAGACTCACTTTCTCATGTCATGCTCAAAGTTTTATCTGAACTATGGAAACTGCAAAGATGTATCCTCCACTGACTTTGCAAACAGTTAAGGGGCTGTTCAGAGAACATAAAAATCAGGGCATACACAAATCTCTGCAGGATTAGACCACACCCCTGATCCATAAAAGACTACAGCTTGTCTGACAACAAGGTCCCACTGACTGCAGTGTAGGCCAAGAATCTCTCTACTTTAAAAACACACAGAATGTAAAACTAACAGGCCAAGTCTCAACTTTACTATGATTAGGAAATTCTGGGAAGGTCCTTTTTAATCCTTTGACACAAAACAGCATGACATACAAAACACTACTTCCTGCTACTCAAACCCCAAAATAAAAATTAGTGTATATTTATCAAGGTAACTAAGTACATAAATCATGTTTTATAAAATAAAGGTAATCACAACTTACTTGTGGTACTGTTGTGTTTTTTGCATTAGCTTCTCTGGGAGTCCATCTTCATCATCAAATTGCTCCATTGGTTCTACAACAACAGGTCGAGGTGTTCTGGAAAACATTTCCAATATAATAACTGAATCATAGATCAACCAGGTACAAATATTTTAGCATTTTGAGGAAACATTCCAGAAAGCTAATATGTACTCTATAATTCCTGTATCTTGCCTTAAATCACAGAATTTCAATGAATCCCAATTTTAAGAATTATCTTTGAAAATAATTGTTTCTATGCCCAAAACCAGCTGTTCAGCCCAGAAACCCCAACTTACTTGACACAGTTCTGTTTGCTATGAAGGAAAGATTTTGTTAAAATATCAAAACCGTAGACTAGCAATTACAACATACTTAGGAAGGAACTACCTTTTCGTTTCCATCAGTGAGGCAACACAGGGGCCATGATTATACTGGGAAAGCCTCAAATTCAAAACAGAATAACACAACCTAATCTGATATTTCTACAGACCTTTAGAACTTAGTTTTGAAAGTTTCTCTACAACTGAAAACAGCTTGCTCATCTGGCATTAATATTCCAGTGATAATTAGAAAGACATTTCTGTTTAAGTTTAAAAACCCATTCTTTTAACAACCATACATTCACAAATCAGAATCCTAATTTACCTTTGAAATCGCATCCTTGAAATGTAGTAACCAGAGGCAAGTATTAGCCAGTACTGACAGAAATAGCAGTATAAGAATCCTGAACTGTGTAAAAAGCTCTCTGCATCAGTATTGGGAGCAGAGCCCAGAAAACATAGTTTAAACTGCTAGAAACACTATTTACAAAACACTAGCATTCATTTGTTACATTCCACATCTTTATCTCACTTTGCAGATCATAACCCACCACTTTGGGCATCAAGTCTAGATTAAAAAGACGAAGTCTAGAATCACAGGGCACAGCTCAGTAACTGTTCCATCTCATGCTATCTGCATGGCAATTGATGAGAGTTCTGCTTTTTAAATGCAACTGAACTGTGGCGCTAACAAGTTATGATTCAAAACAATTTTAAATCTAGAGATTAATGTTTCAAATGTCTAGTTGCGATCCACTTAACCCATGAATTTAAAGATTTTCTTCTGATCAGGCAAAGAGTTTTCAGGTAATAAATGTGAAATTTTAGGCTCTGAAGCCAAACATAAAAATATCACGGCAGCAGATTCATGCTAATTATTTTTGCAACTGTGCTTTAGGGAACACGTCAGACACTTAAGCAAGACAAAGATCAAGTGCTTTTTATTCATTCAGGCCACAGTTAGATGGTCAATTCAACTAATCTATCCAGCTGGTAAAATACAAACACTATCCCTCATCACATCCTGGCTTATTTTTCCCTGCCACATCTTTCATGCCAAAAATAACACTCATGTAACACTGGACTAGATTAGTTCCCTTGTTCGGCTCACCACACTTCCATTTAAACACTAATGCCAAGAAAACCCAGGAGATAAGAACAAATTGCTGGCACCTCCTGATAACAGCAAAGACCTATTCAGATTGAATTTACTACGTAACTACCATATCAGTTTAGTGGTGCACAAGATTTATGAGATTATCGCAAGAAATAGGAGTTCCAGACCCTTTACCCACCTGCAATCTCCTCCTGATAACATTTTCTCCTGCACCTGACATTAGCAAGCACCATCATGTGCTTAAACAGGCCAAAACGAACCCAAGAAAAACTGAATGCTTTTCTGCTGTTTTAGCAAGCCAAAGAAGTTTATGGAAATATCATGAAGTTCTCAAGCTGATAAAAGATCAACAGCACAGCCAAGGCAAGAAAAGAACTACAAGTTCCCCAATTCAATGGAAGCAGCTTTCCAGACTGCAAAATCACAGCCTTATTTTCCCAAATGAGAATCAGAAAAATAAAAACTAAAAAAAAATCATGACTATTCATCATTTACATAGTTTTTGAGAAAGCATTTGAAAATGCCACTGTGAAAGTGGTGAAGTACAGCACTGAACAACTCTCTTCAGCACATACAGAAATAAGAGATGCAAGAGAAGTTCTGCAATTTGCAAGTTTGCTTGCCCTTGAAATAGAAGTTTTCCTGAGATCATTGTTATAAACCTCTGCAGAATCTCAGTCTTCATTTAAAAACAACAACAAAAAAATCTGGCCTTACAAGACACAAACAAAATTCTGAGATAGAAACACTTTTCTCCGTCTATGGAAAGATCAGCAGTGTTGTGCACTGCTTTGTTAAGAAATAAAGAAATATTATTTTGTCACATTGTTACTGGGATCAGGAAGACTGCAATCAATGAAAATTAAGTCTCACTAGAAAAGGCCATTCTATGTAGAGAATATTGCATGTAAGCAAAAAAATGCTAAATTTTGCTCTCAGATTCTCATATGGTAATAAGAAATCTTATCAACAGTAAGCAGAGAAAGATGGTTTTCTTTACCAAAAAAAATCAAAAGTATTTGGAGTATTCATGTAAAACACCTTAATTTCTCATCTCATGGCTTTCATAATTATCTAAAAAAAATAAGAACTAGGAAATGCCCATGAACGCAGCTTCTGTTCACACCAGAAAGATATACACAAATCCAAACAAAAGCCTGGGAACTTACGTTGTTAGTAAGAATGCCCCATCACTGCATCTTTCTAGAGCTTTTCGTGCTGGAGGTTTTGCTGCAAACTCTACGAAACCTTTTCCTGTAGCTCTGCCACGATCATCTACTACAACAACCGCTCTTTCCACTGGCCCGAACTGAGAGAATGCTTGTTCCAGCAGCTCATTAGAAACCACAGGTGAAAGATTCTTGACAGTTAAGGCAGCTCCATGTGTAGCAAATCGAATTCGAAGCGGTCTGCTCTTCAAAATAGTACCATCAAGTTCTGCCTTCGCTATTTCAGCCAGGGTCCTAGATTCCTTTATCAAGATATAAAATATTTCATAAATTTTAATTTCAAAGACAACAGATGCCACTTTCAATTGCCCCCCTCAAGAAGTAGCAAAGTTGTTTTCTTTGACTTGACCACACTGGCATCAGAGTTATCCAACCTTTTTTCCCCTCTAATCAAAACAAAAACCACCACCAAAGTTCCTGTCCTCTGATCGAAAAAAAAAAAAAAAAGAGGCGTTCATCATCCACTATGATTTATTCTAAAAAATTACACGCATTCATTTTTGTTGCACATTTGAGGACTTAACAAATTTCCATTTTGACAGTGCTGCCCCATAAAGGCTTTAAGTAGAGTTGAACATCTGATGCTTTTTCGTATTTACCTACTCAGATATTTATATTCTGCATCTCTAGCTCCAGATAGCAGGAAACAGTAATTTCAAAGACTACACTACAGCATCTAAGGTGGTTTGGGTTGGCTTCTTGTTTTGCCTTTTCGTAAGTGAAAATATCACACTTGCTCTCAATGAATGTCCAATTCAAATTACATCAACAAATGATGAAATCACCTTCTTTCCTCACTTCCTCTCACCTTTACAGGCTTTCTGTACCCACATCCATGAGATGGTGTGCATGAACAACTGCTTTTTCTGTTCACCGAGACTGATACCCGCAGTCACTTAAAGAAATTATTCTTAGATCTTTCTCCACAGTTCATCTGACTAGGTAAGTTAATATATATATACATATATATACATTCTCTAAACATAATGGAAAAGGGAAGCTCACATAAAAGCTCTAGCTAATCTATATTACATACCAAACTGGGTAATGGCATATAAATATATCGCACTTCCTCCAGAAAATTGCTGTTTCAGGCTGGGGAACTCTCAAGGTAAAAGATGTATGGCAGAATGCCACAAGCATTTTAAGATGACAACCAAAAATTAAAAAATTGCTAACCAGTAAAATATATGAAAAAATCATATGTAGAGACCCCCAAGGAACTGTAAACCTATTCCCAGAATTATATAAACCGGTGCATTCTAGACACGGCAGTCATGAAAACCAATACTGCATATTAAATTGACATTTAAATACAATCTCATAAACTTTCCGGATGATTTCTATTTTCGCATGCTCAACTCGAGCACGTTTGATCAAATATTGTATTACCCCTACAAATCCAGTCTTATCTGGGCACAAGTAATTTAAACAAACCAAGTCCCCCGTTCTTTGCAATTCCGTGATTGTATGTTCTGTTTTCACGACGTGTGAGCAGTGGTATTTCGAAACAATTCTGCCCAGTGCCGACGGGTGAGGCGGGGTTCGAAACGCCAGGGGCCGGGAGGGCTGCTCAGAAAGCAAGGCTCTGGCTTCGATGTAACAGGAGAGGGGGGATAAGGAAGAGGCGGAGGGACCAGCGCTACCAGCGAGCAGAGAGAATGGGAGGCAGACACTGCCATTTTTTTTACACTCGCCGAAAAGGAAGGGAAGGGGGCGGGGGGCAATGGACCGAAGCGTCCCGCTTGCAGAGGCTGCCCCTGGGCCACCACAAGGGCTCACCCGGATCCTTACCAGGCGGATGAAGCCGAAGCCACGGTCCCGATTGATGAAGACCTCGCTGGGCTCCCCGTAGCGCTCGAAGAGGCGCTTGAAATCCTCCTCGGTAATATCAGTAGGCAGATTCCCCACGAACAGCCGGCAGCGCTGGGTGTAGCTCTTCTCGCCAGGTTTGAGAAAGCTCTTGATATCGATGGTGAACCCACCCTCCTGCTCCTCATCTCCGCCACCTTCTTTGCTCGGCGCCAGCGCCATGGCCGCCGCCGCCGCTTCACTCTCTGCTTCTAGGCCCCGCAATCCTTTCAGATTGCCGCCGCCGCCGCCACCCCCCACCATGCCCAGCGGCGCCGCTGGGGAGCTGTTCTCGATCCGCACTTGCTTCAAGTTCCTATTCGCGGCCATATCCGCTCCTTCCCCGCCGGTTCTCCCCGGGATGACGCGGATCCCAGCTCGGCAGCCGCCGCCTCCGACACTCGGCCGATTCAAAATGGCGCCGCCGCCAGCCCCGGCGACTGGTAACGTCCCCGAAGAAGCCCCGCCCAGCGGCGCCGCTCCCGCTCAGGGCCGTGGCGGTGCGGCTGCCGCCCATGGCGTGCCGTGCTCCTCCTCTCTCTCGGCTCCGGCACACGGAGCTTCGTATTTGCCTCCGCAGAGGCAGATGTGTGCCAGGGGCTGCGCTGCCTGAGGGGGATAACCCGCCCGGAGGTTCCCTCGGTGCGTGACCCGCCTTTACAGAGAGCCGGCGCAGCCATGTTGCGTTAGAGCAGTGGTCTCTTCAGCCCGTCCTCAGGCAGAGGAGCCCCTCGAGGATTCTCTCCCGAGGGAAAGGCAGGTGGGGTGCCCCGGCGGGGCGTCTGGTCGCTGCGGAGGAGGGAGGCAGGCGTGACACGACAGAGGCTGAGGCGGCTGCAGGGACAGCCGCGGGAATCACAGAATTACGGAACCACTTAGGTTGGAAAAACTGAGGTCGTCGAGTCCAACCTCTTACAGAACACCAACATGCCAACTGGACCATGGCACTAAGTGCCACGTCCAGTCTTTTCTTAAACACCTGCAGGAACGATGACTCCACCACATCCCTGGGCAGTCCACTCCAATGTCTAATTGCCCTTTCTCTGAAGAAATCCTCCTAATGTCCGAACTAAACCTCCCCTGGCACAGATTAAGACTGTGTCCTCTCATCCTGTCAGTAGTTGCATGGGAGAAGAGACTGACCCCACCTGGCTACAACCTCCTTTCAGGTAGTCATAGAGAGCAATAAGATCACTCCCGAGCCTTCTTTTTCTCCAAGCTAAACACTCAGCTGCTCTATATAGGGTATGTGCTCCAGACTCTTCACCAGCTCTGTTGTCCTTCTCTAGACATGCTTCAGAACCTTAGTATCTTTCTTGTAGTGAGAAGCCCAAAACTGGACACAAGACTCAAGGTGTGGCCTCACCAGTGCCAATTACTGGGAGACAATCACTTCCCTAGTCCTGCTGGCCACACTATTTCTGATACAGGACAGGAAGAACTACCTGGGCACTGCGGAGCATGGGAGGACCTGCGGATGCACAAGACAGGAAAAATGTACACTGAGACAGATGTAGAAGACAAATCTCAGCGAAGAGAGGCCTTGTTACATCTGCTTCTTCTGGAACAATTTCCTACAGGGCAACAGCTTTCATTATAAAGGGGATGACTTTCTTCTGAGGGGTCTGAAGTCAAACATTTCCTTCCTCGAGCACCCCTTCTTGTAGCAAAGACTACATGTATCTCTCATCTGCAGCACGAGACTATAGTTTGCTCTCCTGCTCACCTGTAGGATGCCCAGTTGCCTGGTTTGATCTGTGTGCTTCAACCAGTAGTTCAACGAGAGCATGGTTTCTCAGACAAAGAGCTCATTAGTTTTCTGGTTGCCTCATAGAAAGCCTGATAATCCATTCTTGGCTCAGTAATTATAACATAGTAGCCTAAGCACTTTAGGTGCCCATGTAGCTCTACATCACACAGGGGAACTCCTGGATGGTAAAGCAAGACTTAAGGGGAAAATAACCATATTATTTGTTTCATTAAAATAACAATAGCACTGAAAAAGTCAAGACCATCTCATTATGTTAATAGTTACTTCAGCTAGTGCATGGCATGTAGTGTTCTTTGGAAAAAGCAATATTAAGCATGATATTAAAGAACAAGTTAATTCTACAACAGGCATGAATCTGTTGCTCAGTGGTTTCCTTGTCTGTTGGGGAATATTTAAGTTCCTCTGTCTTGTTTTTCCATATGAGGTACAAGAAAGATCTCAGTTCTTTTCCTGCTGTCTCTAATCTTGTACCAGGACCCTGAGAAAACACAGCTTTATCAGCCCACCTCTTCCTGAAGTAGACTCAGATGTAGGGCATCAAGCTAAACCCAGATTTAAAGCTCTGAAAATCAGTAGAGGAAGGATATCTACTCATAGCAAAGGCAGGAAGTCAGGCAGTGTAGGAACATGAGGGAGCTATTAATAGTCCCTAAAGCTTAATCATCTTGACTGTCCAAAGAGCTATGATTTATTTGTAGTATATTTAGGATGCAATAATAAGTGTTAAGACAGAAAAGAGCTAACTTGCAACAAACCAGTAACTCTGTAAAATGGGTAAACATGTAAAGGGAGTGAAACATATGTTAGAAATTATGTGACTGTTCATTGTAGATGTATACTCATCAGTAGATGAGAAAAGGGAGATGTGAAGTAGTCTGCTTGATAAGTTTTCGCCAGTGCCATGTAATAAAATTGTCATGGTTTTCAAACACAGATTTCCAAATCAGGTTAGTAATAAAAGCTGTAACCATCTAAATATACAACCATAATTTCATGTGTATTATAAAAAAGTCAATAGGAGGAGCAAGGAGTGTTTACAAATTCCACACTATTCTTACCTTTCCTTGGCTGAAGCCATGTCTCAATAGAAAATGATAGTGCAGTAAAATAGAGCAATAAAATTCCCCAGAAACAGGAAAATAATTGATGTATCTGAAAATATTTATATTTTGTCGTGTGCTCATGAATTCATACATTATCTTCATTGGTCAGATTTGCAATATAACCACAATGCACCTACATGCCCTGTTTAAACTTTTTAGTGGAGGAGCTATTTGCACACGCCCCACGGTCAAACATTTAAGGGTAATGTACAAAAAGAACTCAATATCTGCTATGCTCAGTCACTTCCTTTTGTTCATTTACATATCACTTCACATTTTACTTATTCATCACAACAGCCCCAGACAGTTCATCTCCCTTACTGCCCAGAGTCTTTGTGGCTTGATGATTGCTACACCTTGCCACTCCCACCAGTTGACAAGTAAACATTTTGAAAGTAGACAAAATGGGACCCTTGAAGTTCTTGTTCCAGTGCTTTCCTTCTGTTGTAAACATCTGCTGACATTTTTATGACTTAACTAATTCCAATTCATATAATGGGAAAAGTTCTGCTAGACTGTTCCAGCCACTATCTGTAAGTTTGGTATTGTTATATTTAATATTTTTTATGCAGTTGAACTACATGAAAGTAATTGCAGAAGAGTGGGGGAGTAACAATTGTGATCATATGGTCATTTGTTTTCACTCTGTAGTCCGAGCAGAAAACAGGAGCAGAATTGTTAAAAGCACCAATATTTTTCATTTTGTGTGCTACAGAGAAAAGTTCTATTTGGTGTATGCTCAAGTGTTCATGCTGTCAAGAAATTTGGGGGTTTTGCCAAAACACACACCATCTAGCCATGTGCCATAAGAGATACAGCCAGAAGCAATTGACCTAGCTTTTAATTTTCTGTATCATAACATTACTTTTCTGCCAAATATCAGCACCCTGCTGAAAATCAGGGAGGCGTCAGACCTCTAAGAGAAAGTCATGACAGCTTTTTATGCTGCAAACTTGTAAATGCTACATATCTTGATCTGCAGATAAAAATCCCAAACTATTTGTATTTACCCTTGAACAACTTCAAGCTGATTGCCTGGATGCCAACACTGCAGTCCTGACAGCTCTGTTAGTGCTGAAGCTGGCTTCTCAAAAGGCTGTTGAAGCTTACTGCTCAACATATCTCTGGAATCCCAAGTTTATTTCTTGTTGCTTCCTAATATCTGCAATAAGTCACAGTTCGGATCAATACTTGTAATTGAAGCTACAGTGGTAGACCATGACAGAATGTATCAGGGAGCACCAGAACTGAGAGGTAAATTAGAGGCATGGAAGAGGTTGATCCATGTGAGAGGAGAAGGGAAACAAGGGAAAGCACAAAATTCTGCACTGAAAAAGAAGGGAGTGGGATAGGTAGTGATTGATGGCCTGAGACTGGGATCCTATTCTGAAGTGTGAGGCCAGGGAACTGAGGTACACCTCTCTGCATGACCTAACGGAGGCGGGAGCTGCTGCTGCTCTTCATCTCTTGCCATTAAAGGCAGCGTTTGCCTTCAGTTTTGCTCATGGCAGCATTGGGACAAATTAAGCTTGGTGGGTAGGTATTGGTCTCCACTACTGAGCTTTTCTTACAAGTTGGTTAAGAATATTAAAAAGACTAGCTGTCATAGCTGTGCCAACGAGCCTGATGGTATAAACATAACGGTGTGGAGGAACATTGCTTAATGCAATCTGAAATAGTGATGCATACTTCGTAATCATCCGAGGATGACCTCATTATGTTACTAATAGAGTATTGAGTGGTTACGACTGTCGTTGCAGTGCCATCTGGTGACAAACACTGGAATTATCACTAGAACTTTATTAGAATAATCCAAACAAAAATAAAGATGAAAACCCTATAATAATATTATCTTGTTGGTCCCAGATGGACAGCACGGCTTGGATTTTCTATTTTTAAACTTGGTGAGAAAGCCTTCTTTCTCTGTTCTCCTTTCTTAATAGTATAATTCAACCACATACGTTCTTTTTTTTTACATGGATTGACTTGTATATGAACCACATTTACAAAATCTGGTTAGTAGCCACCTAAATACATGCTATATTAATAGATTTTTTAATGTGAATTGAGACCAGTATTTCAGAATTAACCGTGTGCGTGTAGTCAGTATTATTCTTTAAAACAACATTGGTCTCAAGGAAACAAGGACTGAAAACACATGAAAACAGATTTGTCTGTGAAGGTGTACTTGCCAGATGGACATTTAAGCTCGGCAAAAGTTACCTGACTTTTCCAAAGCTACTTTCTCCACTGACATAACCAATGCATACAATGCAATCCTTAATGAATATTTTTCAGCATATTGTCTTTGCCTGTTCTGTAAAAGAGTGACAGTTAAATACTAGGGCAAGCAGGAAGTTAAAGCCCTAAAGCATTCCACAAATATATTCAGCCCTTAATTTATCTCTAAACAATCATTTGATGTGCTGTCAGCACATCAGGCAATAGAGCTTCACTTGGGGTTTCAGTAGGATGTGGTAGATGGCCAATGGTTGGGGCTTTTGTTGTCTTTTACTCCAAATCATCTCTCTTACAGTCTGTAGTGGAATATATTTCTTGCATTTGATT